CCCCAAAACCCCAAAACCCCATAGTTAAGAATTTTGCATATATTTGGAGAATTTTTAATTTTTGGGTATATCTATAAAGATTTCTAAATTATCTCAGCTTAATCATATACAAATGGAATCCAATATCTCTTATCTATAACTCTCTAAATTTTCAGTTAATTAATCTTCTATAGTCCTTTTAGTCCAAAGTGTCAATAGCCATTTGCCTTTACCATTCTCTTATTCATGAATTGTGCTTTTTTATTCTAGTTTATATTGACTTATAATCTCATCTAATGAAGCAAATTTTGTTCCTTATTGATGATCTTCGATTTCTCCCTAATAGATTCCAAGATATAGCAATTCTACTGGATTGTCTGAGGGAATCTCTATATATGATGTCCTAAATGTAGATTCTCCCACTTCAGATAAGATTGGCTAAAAAGTTTTCTATTCTTTTAAATATTATATGACCTTGTGGATAGTAACTTCTTTTATACCAATTATCTAAATATTATACTCTTCTCTGATTTTAATCTTGACTAATTCTTGATCTTCTATATTCCAATGAATGGCTTAAGACTAAAAATAATCCTGAGCAGTTTAATCTTCAGTAAAGATGAACTTTAAAAATCTCAAATCCTTGTAAACTGAAGCATATTAGAAGAAATTTAATGATATGGTTCTTGTCAATATAGCAACTGGTTTGGTATATAATTGCCTGTGAAATTCATCAGAATATTAAAAGAATTCGCAATCCTTAATCTAAAAAACATTAATAAAAAGATCATGTATGAAGGACTATGCTATTACTTACTCCATTACCATTAAGATGAAAATCAATGTTATACAAGTAAGGGTCGTCTCTTACTATCTTGCCAGAAGTAATCAAGCACTATGCCCTTGTTCTGAGGAAATTAAAAAAGAGTAAGTCCAGTTTGTTTTTGGGTGCCCCTGGCTAGTCTGTAAGTATTTAAGTGAATTCTTTGTCTTTGAAAAACACTGCATGTGAATGAAAGACATTCACTTTGTCTACAATTGAATCTAGATTTCCAAATATTTCTTCTGCTTTAGACTAAATGCTAGTTTACATATCTTTCAGATGAATTATTATGGAAATTAAAAATTCGATCTTAATCTTTAAAGTTACTGAAAATAACTTTTTTTTAGTAACTTTTTCATTCCTATTACAATTATATTATTTATTTCCATAAAGGGCTTGCATAAGATTTTTGTGCTTTATGCCTTAATGGGGTTTTGGGGTTTTGGGG